TGTGTGTGTGTGTGTGTGTGTGTGTGTGTGTGTGTGTGTGTGTGTGTGTGTGTGTGTGTGTGTGTGTGTGTGTGAGAGAGAGTGTGTGAGAGAGAGAGAGAGAGAGAGAGAGAGATTGTGTTGGGGGTTGAAAACAGTCACACAACAATCCAACTTGCTAAACAAAAAGTGTTGCCTTCCCTGCCACCCACAAGGCTGTATAGTCAGACTCACAGTGGAGCTGGGACCACAGTCTGAAGGACTCTCCAAAGATTTTGTGCTCTGATTGGCCGACAAAAAGCTGCCACACTTCAGCTAGATATGCAAGTAGAAACTGAAGAAGTCTGGGCCCGTTATAACGGGCAGATCTATTAATTGCTAGAGAGAACAGAGTGTGGTCAATGTCTCCATGTTTTATTCACTGAAGCCCAGATTAAAAGTCTGGCCAGATTTTATTTTCTTTTTTTGGGAGGATTGGGGGAAGCTGTCATCAGCAGAACAGATCAGCACTGAAGAGGGAAAAAAGCAACCCAGCCCACACTGCTAGCACTCTGACAGCAAGACCTGATGTTATTTGACAGCTTAGTCCGTCCAGTGTCCTCTCATTTCACGGGTGTGGCGTGAGCATCACAGCTGCTGCACTCGCTGCCATCTCCCTGACCACTTTAGAAGACTGCTGTTACACCCCTCACTCTTTATCTGTCTTGCAGGAACATCTGGTGAGGACAAAACTCCCTCCAAACCCTTCTGCTGTCTTTCAAAGCGGATCTTCGAGGGTCTTCAACATCTGACGCCTGCTGCCATTCTGCTTTGAGGAGTCGACACGGGAAATGTCCTCACTTCATTCCACAACACAAGAATCTATGCAAGGGAATGTATTGTTGGGAAGGCTGTGGAGCCACAGACTCAGCATCCCAAATGGAGATAGTTAGACGGCTCTTTCCTCCCCCCACCCCCCACACTCCTTCCTGCCCCTGTTGCAATGGAAATGAACACGCATGTAATGAAGTTGATTTTTTTTTTTTGGATGTTTTTGCATAAACGCACAAGAAACTGGCTGCTCTGTGTGTGAATTTGCGTGTGTGTGTGTGCCTGCTGATTGGTCCTTTCACTGAACATAAAAAAAACAAAACAAACAAACAAACAGTGTGCACCAGTGATGAAGTGACCTTTACCCGCGTAGACTACTGTGTTGCCCTTTGGTGTTGCTAGAAATCTGCTTGAAAATAATTTATTTCCTCAGCATCTATCTGGTTTGTCAGTTTGGAAAAAGTATTAGTTGGTCTCAATTTTTTTGTAAATCTGTTGTTACAAGAAAAAGAGCAAATGAGTAATGTAAGATAAATGACAATAAAAGATCATTAGCTAGGTTGTTACTTTCAGATGCCTCCTCGGTTGTATTTCTTCCTCCCATTGGCCTGTTAGTCATGTTTACCCTTTTCACTCTTGATTGCAATTAAGAGCCAGTTAATCTCTCTGGTGAACTGAACCCAACTTCTAATTCACAGCAAGAAAGTGAGCAGTTACACTCACTGGTCACTTTATTAGGTATAGCTTTTCAACTGCTTGTTAGTTCAAATATCTAATCAGCCAATCACTTGGCAGCCACTCATTGCATATTAGTCATGCAGACATGTTCAAGGTGACCTCCTGAGAGCAGCTTCAAATCAAGCATCAGAATAAGGAAGAAAGGTACTTAAAATTAGTGATGCTGCTGGTGCCAGACAGGCTGGCAAGAGTATTTTTAGACACTGCCGATCTGAAATTTTCCCACACAACCATCTCTGGGGTTTATAGAGCCTGGACCAAAAAAGAAAAAAAAACATGCAGTGAGCTGTAGTTCTCTGGATGAGAATACCTTCTTGATGTCAAAGGTCAGAAGAAAAACGCAAGACTGCTTGAAGCAGCCACTACAACTAGGGTATGCAGAAGAGCATCTCCTAATGTACAACTCATCCAACTCTGGAGTAGATGGGCGGCAGCAGCAGAAGACCACACCGAGTGTCACTTGTGTCAGCAAAGAATAGAAAACTGAAGTTACAGATCACGTGGGCTCAACAAAGTTTGACATTCAACGAGGAAGTTCACTGTACTCAATGAGCTCCACAGTCACCACATCTCAAACCAATAGAGCAGCTCTGACATGTGGTGGAACAGGAGATTCACATCATGGATGTACAGCCGACAAACCCGCAGTAACTATGTGATGCTGTCGTGTCAATATGGCCCAAAATCTCAGAGGAATGTTTCCAGCACCTCGTTGAAAAAGTTGGTAAAACCCAGAATGAACCTAATAAAGTGGCTTTTAAGAGTGTATATAAAAAGAGTCAAATCAGTCCTTTAAAATAATATTATTGTGGACAGTCCAGACAAACACTGAGCATATTTGCATTAGTCTCACTAATAACCATTTAAAAACTTGCACAGGTGTGTAATTTGAGAAACTAGCTGTTTACTTGATAAGTAGCCTGTAACAGGCACCTGTGTCACTAACCTGGGTTCAGCACACTGTTCATGTATGATTGCATTTATCAAAAACATAAAAAAGACAAGAAAAATAAATAAAGACGAGCCAGGTTTGCAAGAATTGTTTTTAAAATTCATTACAAGAATATTGATTATATTTTTGGTTTGCACTGAAATTGAAAATACAATGTTTAGGTGTCTTCTACACTAATACGATTTGGTTTAACAGGCATCAGAGTCACTCAGCCCGACACACATCCACTCATTCTCACACATGAACGTAATACAAAGCAGCACATTAAACAGAAACAACAGCACAACACGCACACAGACACACACATCAACTTCACTGACCTCTGTGGGGACTACAGCAAACACATCCAAACACACACACTCACTACTGTCGGGGTGTAATTGATCGCAGGTGCTGAGATTTGATAGAAAAATAAACAGTGTCTGAAAACACCATACTTCATATACTGGTCATATACACTATACATTACATGATAAGATACAATACAGCTGTTACACACAATGCTTAAAAACACTTCAGCGTGCTGCCAGGGCTGGTTCATGAACAGAAGATAAATACTAACAGCGAATTTCTCTAAATCACAATGATTCTCACACTACACCGTCTCCTGCATCATATTAGTTCATCGGTGTCTCTGTGGCATAATCCACCTTTAATTTCAGACTATAAAAGATGAATCTATTAGCCCATCTGAAGGGCCTTAGAAAACACTTCCTGCGTGCCTGTTTGTCTTGCAAGGCTCGACGTTACCTCTGCCAGGTAACCGTGAAACACATCAAAAGCTGAATGCTGGTTGCCATGCCACTTTCAGCAGAACTGCTGTGTATGCTCTGCCCAAATGATAGAAAAATACTCAGTGTGTTTCCGAACAGCTAAATTTGTGGTTCACCTGAGCTAAAAGACTCAGCCAGTTCCAAAAATTCAGTGATTGTGATGGCGAGATGCAGTACACTGGAGATGGGACAGCTGTCTGATCTTATTATTTAACCCTGCAAGTCACTCAGGCTTCATTTTCCCAGTGACTAGCTAGCTGTCTGGCAGAAAACACTTCATCATTAAAATAATCTTTTCTTGAGGTAAGCAAGAGCACAATCGCTTCTCTAAATCCAATAACACGAGCCCCACGAAGCTTCAATGCACCGGCACTAAGATGTTACAGAGTATTAGAAACATTTGTTACTTTGCTGCTACGCAGCTGCTCGAGCAGCAAACTGAGCCCTTCAATGGTCAACTTAATGAATACAGTACATTATTACTGCTGTGCAACCTGAGCCAACGGGACCGAGTGTGATCACGAACACGGTCGATTTGTCTCATTGTCAGTAACCAGTCGATGTCAAGTAGAGGAGGCCTCAGTTGTCCTTAGCCAGGTAACCCATGTGTGTATTAGTGAGGAAGTCGCAGGTGGGGATGCTGCTGACAGCCTGGTGGATGTTCATGGCTGTGATCTCTCTTGGTGCCCTGCAAACACAAATGCAACCAAGAAATGACTTCAAGAGGAACAGAAACACCACCCTGAGGTATCTTTCAGTTTGGGACAGCCTTTGGTTTGTGGCGTTTAGTGAGCATGCAGACATGTTTTCATTTTAAAATGTATCGCCCTCTGGTAAAAGGTGACTCACAGTTTTGTTTTTTTTAATGAAAAAACAGAGCATCCATCCACTCTAGCACCATCTAACACACAGTTTTAGCTAATTTTGTGATAAAGGGTGAAAAAAAAAGTTACAAGCTACCACCAGGCTTTTATATTAACATTTGTTTAGAACCCCTCCTTGAATCGCTACCTTATCGTGGTGGAGGGGTTTGTGTGTTCCTGGGATCCCAGGGGCTATGTTGTCTGGGGGCTTTTGCCCCCTGGTAGGGTCTCCCATG